GGGTACTACAGGCAAAACAAAAGTATAGTTAACTGGAATACTGTAAAAGGAAAAAAAAAAGGCGGGCACAATTGAGAGTATTGAGACTATACAAATTGACTGCTTCCAAGGCTAAGCATGAATAACTATGGGCTAGAAACAGTGAGCTGAAAAGCCAAGTCAGAGGTACATTCAGTGTGTTCCAGCAAAGTGAAAGGAAGAAGAGAGAGCAAGGCTGTCCTCTCCCCTGTGGGAAAAAGCACACCTAAGTTTACTTCGGTTTAAGATCAGAACGTGGGACAAATGATTTCTATTCTTGTTGAGATTCTTTAGAACATGTCTCTCACAGAGACGACATGGAGGTGGAAGTAAAATTTGGCAATGTTTGGCTCTGGGTTTTGAAGCCACCGCATTAAACAAATGAAGGTGGCAGCAATAATATTTGCCTAAACCTTGGTTCCAACAGGAGTTAGACAGACTGAGCTTTCATTAAGCGAAAGGAGATGTCAGGAGCACCAAATGGGCTCCGTTTCCCCTGGAGTCCTAGACAAAGCGGGTCTGTTTCTATGCTCTGGACAGGAGGCTACTTTCTCTAGATGTTATATTTAGCTAAAGGAATCTCCACCATGGCTTCATGCAAAATGCAAAGTATGTCCCAGCAGACATAACCACAAACCAGAGGGCCGGCAAGGAGCATCCCTTTAGGGTGTTCAGTAGTACAGAGGGGCCAATTGTGCAGGCACCCTGACATCCCCGAATTAGCTGAGTTAAAACTGTGAGCCAGATTTTTGGCCAGCTTTCACATTTAATAAGTCTTTGTTTCCCTCTTTACTAGAGATCCTGCCCCTGGGGAGAAAAAAACCTGCTGTCCTATTTCACTGTCAACTTCTAGCTGCTTACCCAGACACCAAGTAGGAAAAACAATCCAATGTTGATGTTTAACACCTCCAAACCTTTTGAAGGTTTGTGTGCAAGAGAAAAGGTTAGGTTAATTCTGTAACTAGGTGAAATATCTGGATTTGACAGAAAGGGGTAAGAAAATCCAGAATACCCTCTATTCTGCACACCATACCCAGAGTCCTAACAGAATATGTCAGAGGAAACCTAAAGTTCTAGAGTCAGATGAATGGATTTAAATACTAACCTCACCTCATTTTTTTTTTTTTAGATTTTACTTATTTATTCATGAGAGACACAGAGAAGGAGGCAGAGACACAGGCAGAGGGAGAAGCAGACTCCCTGCAGGGAGCCTAATGTGGGACTCAATCCCAGGATCCCAGGATCATGACCTGCGCTGAAGGCAGACGCTCAACCACTGAGCCACCCAGGTGCCCCCTCACCTCATTTTTGATTAATCTCCCTAAGCTTCAGTTTCCTCCTTCCTAATATAGCGATATTAATAGCAACTACTTTATGGAATTATTGTAAAGATTAAGCATATAGAGTGCTTAATACTGTACCTGGCACAAAAGAGTTCAACAAATGTTGGTTTTGTTATCATAACCTTTGCTAGTGAACCATTAAGTTTTATAGCTTTTTAAAAAAGAATCTAAAAAGGAGGAAAACCCATGACTTTTGCCAGTGAGAAACAGATCCAAATTCACATAAATCTCAGGTGAATTTTCACAGGTGTCCATGGCTGAACCACAAATGGTTTTCCAATGTCTTTCCTAAACAGTGTGTTTCCAGAGAAATGTGGATTTCCCTTTTGGTGCTGGAACTAAATTTACAGGTAAAACAAAAGGTATATCTATTTTATGCACTTGAATTCCTGTTTGGTGACTCTTGGTTGCTGGCCGTTATAGCTAAGGGAATCTGAAACAATGCTTCATTCCTCAAGAAATCTGATCTTTAATCGTGTAAGCTAGCCCACTCTCCATACCCACATCCACTTTTGTTTGTCCATATCTTGAGCATTCCAGTTTACTATCATAATTTAACAAAGATCACCCAATAACCAGAAGGAAGCCCCCAGTACAGGATACCCAATATTGGGTATCATAAAATTCATCATAGAATTATAGTATACTAGATTTTGAAGGCAGTATGAAGATCATATAGGCCAAGCACTTTTTTTAACTTTTCCTAAAGTTAAGGCACAGAAAGAATTAATTGTCCAAGGTTTCAGAGTTACTAGCTAGATTTTGAAGGCAGTATGAAGATCATATAGGCCAAGCCTTTTTATCTTTTAACTTTAGGGAACTGAGGTGTATACAGAAAGAAGTAAGTAATTGCCCAAGGTTTCAAGAGTTACTAGCAGAGTTGAGACCTAGAGGAAGGGTCACTTGGAAGAGACCTTTCTTCTGTGATAGACTGGAGCAAGCCCTGGGAAGACTCCCTTAACTGCCAGTGTGGCCCGGCTCACTCCTTATTTCTCTGGTCTGATTACTACATCTCAACCAATGGGATTCTAATCCTTCATCTGCAACACACTTAAAGCAAAAAAGAATAAAAAATTAAGTTATGGAAAAAGAATCCTTCTGTGCCGATTACTAGAAAGCAGAGAGGCTCTCACCCAGCCAAAACAGAATTAATTTACACTTGTGATCAGCCAAGCCAGCTTCTTCTACCTTAGAACCCTCTCTGCCTACAATGGACCCCAGGGGAGAGAGAAAAGATATTACTCACCCAGTGGGATAGTAAACATTGCCTATTCAACAATCCTATACATATCTCTAATTACAACTATATTTAACTGATGAAAAAGTTTTAAGATCAAGAAAAAGTCCTATGGGCTACAACCATATACAATATGAGTAAATCTCAAAAACATATGCTGAATGAGAGAAACCAGACACAGAAGAGTACACACTGTATGATTCTATTTATATAAAGTATGAAACCAAGTAAAAAGAATCTCCGATGTTAAAAGTCAAGACAATTGTTATCCTTGGGGATTGGGACCACCCTTCCCAACCCCCTGAGGACTGTGAGGAAGTGAGAGTGGGAATCCTAGGGTACTGAAATAATCTATTTCTTGATCTGGGAGCTAGTTACCATGTGTGTTCAGTTTGTAGAAGTGCATGTAGCTGTAAGTCTGTTATATGTGCACCTTTCTTCAATAAAATGTAATACATAAACAGTCCCATGAGTAATAAGAAATTCTTTCTTATGCCCCGACCAAAGAAATACACAATTTATGTAAGGAGGTCAACTCTGAGACCATGGCTAAGAATATCTTTCATGGGCAGATTTTCTTTCTGGAGGGCAGAGGCCCCATATTTTCTATATGAACCATGCAGTTAGGCTCTTGGTGAAATGTGAATGGCACCTGAAAAACCTGAAGCACTCAAGGCTTTGATGATGGGCTGCCTTCAGCATACACATCTCTGAGTTCTGGATGGGCCAGAATACTCCTTCAGCTTGGCTCTTCTCTAACATTCTAAAGCTGGGAGAAAAGAGAGCTGAGAGTTTCAGTGAAGTCTAGATAGCTGAACATCCCTCACAGAAGTTTTTTCTCAGATGAACAGAGAAAATGAAGGAGGAAACAGTCAGTCAGTCCCTGTCCTTCTAGAGTTAATCTAAGTGGCTGTCAAGGTCACAGAGAAGAGCTGAAGTGGCATCTGATTACTGTCAAGGTTCTACCTAAATAGCCTTCAATTTTTTTTTCTAATAAAAGCTATATATTTAAAGAGTATGACATTATGACTTGATGTGGATGTATACATAGTGAGATGATTACTACAGTCAAGCCAATTCACACACCTCACACGGTTACCTTTGTGTGTGTGCATGTGTGTGTGTGAAAAGAACCCCTGAAATCTACTCTCTAGCATATTTCCAGTATTCGGTACAGTATTAAATTAACTACAGGCATTCATTTTAGCTACATCCTCATGTCACCAAGGGTTGCAGAATAATTCAGATGAATGACAAGGAAGCTAGAGCAGATGCTGGAAACCATGAGGAAATGGTGAAAAGTACCTTCACCCCTAAATGAAGTATGGCTCCAACCGCAGTGCAGCCAGGCTGCTAAAAATAGCCAGTAAACTCCGGGAGAAGTTCTCTTTCTCTTCCTTCTTTTCATTGTCAGGTGCTTTTTACTCTTCATATCCTGTCTTTAAGACACAGGAAAAGCCTCTACACAGATGCATTAAGTAGATGGAATGTTCTAAATCAGTTCTTTTTTCATGCTGGTATAAACAAAAGAATTGGGTTCTAATTCCAGACCTACTGAGATCTGGAAAACTTCCTAATGTTAAGAATTGAAAAACTGGCTACTATTGACCACAGTCCTGTTTACCAAAGTTCTTTCTCTCCCAGCCTGGAATTTTAACACTGGATTTTGTCAAATGAAAACCAATGGATTTCCTATATAGGAAACCAACGAAATAGCCCTATATACCTACCCCCTTTATATCTATAACATTGTGGGAAGACTATTTGCCTTCTGAAAAGTCTGGGGATATCAGAGCTTGAATGTTAGACATGATACATTATATAAAATGGTTGGAGCTTTTGCCATCATTTGTAACCAGTGACTCCACTGAGAGAGTTTAGGTTGAGAGACCTCAGAAATAAGGTTCCTTAGTCTCCAAGAGATTATTTCCACCACTGACAGGTAAGGTCAATTTGGCATTAGTTTTGTAAGATTACCACTAAATTCATGAGTTCACCTCGGCCAAGATGAACGCTTGGAAAGAAAACTAAACCGAATCACAAACATACACGAACTAGAAGAGGGAAAGGTGAAACCACACTGAAGGTTCCCAAATCTCAACAGTCTCACAAATCACTCAAGGACATCAAGGAAACACCGTCATCACCAAAATATGTAGATTATGAATTATGTTGCCAGTGTTGGGATTGTATCTTGCAAACAGTTACTCACAGGGCTACTATTGATTCAATTCAGAAAGGAAGAAAAGAATGAGTATTCAGGGTTTTTTTTTTCTCCCACGAGATCACAGTAGGAAAATGAAAAGCCTTTTAACTGGGCCAATACTATAGTCTTTCTCTTATTTACAAGATGGTGTCATCGCTCCACCCAGGGATCTCCGTGCCTAAAAATAGCTATATACCTTTTTAAAGAGTCTTCCTGAGTCCTCGCTGACTTGGACAAATCGAGGAATGATATTATTCAGGTAGATGTCACTCAGGGTGGTATGGTCCCTGCTCTCCCGCTTCACCTGGTTTAAGAGGAGATTCCAGCAGTTGACTGGAGAGAGTACATTCTGATCCTTCCTGCAGAGAAACAGCAAGAAAAAAAAAAAAATCAGTGTATGTGAGTAGCCAGGGCCAACAGCTATGAATATAGTCCATGTCATAAAATCACAGTGATCAAAGCTGAGTCAGAAATAGACATCCTTCCTTGAAGCCTGCACCTCTAGTTTTCTCTTTATCTGAAACCTCAGTGGAGAAAATAAGAATAATGAGAAGAGGAGGGAGGAGAGAGGAAGAGGGAAAGAGGAGAAGCAGGATTATCTGTTGAATATCTACAATGTTCTAGGACTTTGGTAAATGTTTTACATGCATTATCCCATAAGTTTCATAATTTCCCCTTAAGAAAACATTACTGTTATCCCCATTTTGCTAATTAGAAAACTGAAACTCAGAGAAGTTGTCACTTGCTGACAGCCAAATCATAGAGACATTAAGGAAGAGTCAGGGACTAGTACCACAGCTCTACGTTGTCTGACTAGAACAGGTCTAGGCTATCCAACTCCGAAGCCCATAATCTTAGTCATTAAATCATTTGGTTTGTGTTTAGGGTTAGAGGCAAAACTTAGAAGTCTAAAGACAAGAATTGCAAGAGCACTATAGACCACACCTCCACACATTTATTCATATTAGGATTCAGTGAAGACAACAACCTTCAAGGCTTTTGCTGTGAAAAAAGTCCCTAAAAACTCTTAGTCCCAAGGACACATCTAAGGAGGTTCTGAGTTCATGGGTTGAGCCATCATGTCAAGTCCCATACAACCAAGAGCACAAACTATATCTGAACACATGTATTCCTAAAACCTCTACACCTGATTGGAGCAGTCAAGTGCCAAACCTAGGAGTTCTTTTCTAATGAAAACACTGTGATCCAAAAGAATATACTGATTATCTACTCAGTGTGTAGCACAGATTCAAGCAACAGAAAGTTCTGTATCCGCAAGCTGGATTTCTTTAAAAAGAGAAACCGAAAGTAGGAGTTGTTTGCTATATTATTTATCAAGGGCTTGCTGCGCACTTGGCATGTGGCTGGGGCCCTATACTCAACGTTGTTTAATTTGAACCCTATGACAGCCTGATGGAAGGATGTATCATTAACACATTCAGCAGATGTGGGATGGGAAGTTGACTCAGAAAAGTTAAATATCTTGTTCAAGGTCACATAGCTACACAAGTGGCAATGCTGGAATTAAAAACCAAGCCTTGTCGTTGTAGAGAATTGGGATTAATCATTGCAAAGAATCACAATCTGTTCACATTATTTCCCCTTCTTTCCTCCCTACAGTCAGACTCTTAAGGCAAAGAAAGTGAGTGGACAGTGGCTTGGTTCTTGTGTCAGCACTGCCTGCATTCAGAGCAGGAAGCTGTTGGGCAGCTGTGATTTGTGAGAGCTTGGAATTTAACTTTACAAGGGGCTTTTTCCAATCTGTAGTAAGGTAATTATCAGCAACCAATCGTACCACATCTCCTCTGGCTTCAGAACACACCAGACCATTTCATCAACTATCTAACCAGCACTGAGAAGTTACTTCAAACCAATGAGCATTGGAGTCCAAACTGAAACTGATCTATATCTGCCCCCACCCCACCTCTGCCCCCCAGCGTAACACCTCTGTAGTTAGAGCACCTAATACTTCATTTCTGACCCTTTCAGCAACATTATGTCCTTTATTGTTCCAGGAAAATCAAAAGATTTCTATGGAAATGAAAAATATATATATTAGCTGAAAGAGATACATGTGTAATTAATCCACTCCTTTCAAAATGTTTAGCATCTGAAAAACAAACCAAAAAAAGCAAATAGGAAACAATCTTAAACTCAAAGTTGAGCATAGGCCTTCATGGACCTTTGATGTTTTCACTGCAAGAAAACTTTCTAATACATTCCAAATCGGTTTCAGTTATAAAATCCTAAATAATTGAGTTTCCATTTTTGTTGGGTGGCAAAGTATCCATGTCCTTAGTAAGCATGGAATATATCAGGCACTTACACTTGCTTCTTTAAAAGAGCAGGCCTCACAAGATCTGAACTTGACAACTGCTCAATCTGCTTCTTAGGGGTGGACATGGGTTAGTAGTCTCTATTAGGTCTTTCCTTATTGTGCTTCATGCACATAAGAATGGCACTACAACTCAATTTCACCAATATACAAACGTTTGTATCTTAAATGAACAAAGTACAGTATTAGGGGCTTTTAGTTGTAAAAGTGCTAATATCTCTCCCTCTGCCTGTGTCTCTGCCTCTCTCTCTCTCTCTCTCTCTCTCTCTCTCTCTGTGTGTTTCAATATATAACTAAAAATCTTTTAAAAAGGGGGGCGGGCAGCCCCGGTGACGTAGCAGTTTAACCCTGCCTGCAGCCCAAGGTGTGATCTTGGAGACCCGGGATCGAGTTCCGCGTCGGACTCCCTGTGTGGAGCCTGCTTCTCCCTCTGCCTGTGTCTCTGCCTCTCTCTCTCTCTCTCTGTGTGTCTCAATACATAAGTAAAAATCTTAAAAAAAAAAAAAAGTGCTGATATCACAGGACACAGTGGGAAGAAAGACCTATAATATAGCAGAACATTAGAGGGATGAACAAAGGGCCAGTTACCCACAAATGTACACCGCAGATCACAAGTGATGGCAGGAGAGGCAAAACCAATCGAATACCATGGAAGAGGATACAGAGCATAAATCCCAAGGGGACCCTCAGAAGAAAGGATGAGTAAACGAAGATGAGTTAATACAAGGGATAGGCAGAAGTGGAACTCTTTTATTATTTTTTAAGATTTATTTATTTATTTATTTATTTATTTATTTATTTATTTACTTACTTACTTACTTACTTACTTACTTACTTATTTGAGAGAAAGAGAGAGAGCAGAAGGAGAGGGAGACAAGCAGACTACCTGCTGAGTGGGGAGCCCGACATGGGGCTCGATCCCAGGACCCCAAGATCCATGATCTGAGCCAAAATCAAGAGCCAGACACTTAGCTGACTGAGTCACCCTGGCACCCCAGAAGTGGGAATCTTTTAAAACAAAAAGCTTTATGCCTTAAAACTAATAAATTTGTAAATACATTAAGAACTATATATTTATAATTATACCAAGAAGTTCTGAGATGGCAATGTACTTTTAGCACATATTCTTCCATCCTTACAGCAGGTGCTGGGATGGCTATTATTGGTTTCAGTGAGCAGGAATTCTTAAAAGTATGTTCTGAGAAACTCCAGAATTATAGAGAAATAATTCAATTTCAAACAACTGTGACACATCCATTCAAACGAGCAACCCCCAGTTAAATGTGTCAGGGACCCAGATTCCCTGAGTTAGACACTATCACAATGTCTCCTGGGCTTCTAGGTGAGTTACATTGTGTGCAAACTTTTGAATAAAGAACCAATTAGTGTATCCAGACTTCTGAAAAATGTGATGTTGGTTAGATCGGATGTCCTGCACAGGTTTCATTTTTAATTCCAGACTGTGTGCCTCCTTAGGTAATGCTGTGCATGTGAGCACGTGATTTGACACACAGTGGCCAAGTTTAATTACATGCCACGGTAGACCATGGTTGGGTAGTGAGAATGCTCAATATCACCCCATCATTAACAACTGTTTTAACACTTACTACACTTTTTCGGGCTTACCCAATAATATTTATTAAGGGGAATGGGGTTTGCTGCTAGGTAATGTTAGTGATTCAACTTAAAAACAAAAATATCCTTTTTCAAGAGCCTTGGCCAATTTAAAACTATCTCAGGATTATAAATCATCTGTGTGAATCAGGATTTTCTTGATATTAGGCAACCCAAATCAGAGCCAGGAATAACCTGGGTGCTGAAACTGATATAAAATTGCAACTCTGATTCATAATCCCAATTTCAATATTTTGGGTCATGAACACAGCCTCACTGTTCTCACCAACTGACCCTCTAATGAGTTCTCTTCATAAACTTGCACTTCAAAGGTGGATTTACACCAGTAAGGCACTACTTTGGATCTGCTATATCTATGCAAGATTTTTATTTTAAAAAAGCCTTTCAAGATAGTATTAAACTCTGTTGTCCGCTTCTTCTATGGGTCCCTTACTCTTTTTTTACTATTACTGCCACTTTTCAGGCAATATTTTTAGTTCTTTGAGATTGTACGCTTTCTTGGACATAATCCTCCTTTCAACTGATGTGTTTTAATTAATTCATTTATTTATTTTGGGGTAGTGGTGGAGCAGGAAAGGCGAAGGGCATGTAGTAGGAGGGGAACACAAATATACCAGAGACAATTTTCCCAGCCAACACGAACAAAGATGAAACACACTTCGGGCTGGAAAATAAGCAAGTCAACGAGACGTGATTTCATAGGGAGCATATTAAGGTTCTGCTCGAGTGGTTTCCTGCTTCAGCAGCTTTGCAGCCTTATTTTATTTGGGGCTGCTAGAGCCAACGGAACTTCATTCGGTTAGGAGATTGAAATTTGTCTTTATATCTTTTCCATCTATCATTTGTTTGTACAGTTTCTTTACTTTCCCCGCCCCTGGAGTCAGGTTGTGTAATACTTGGGCATTTAAAGAAAAGGGTCTCCGTCCCTCAGGAATGTACTGAACAGCTGCAAACCTCCTCAAACACTAATCCCTAAAAAGCAGACAAAATATCCAGAAGTATTTTTCTTACTTAAATTTTTTTTTCAGGAGGCAGATCAAGAAAACATAATACTGCACTTGAGAGGGAATGATGCTGGAGTCAAGAAAAAAAAAAAAAGGAAGAAAGAAAGCAAGCAGGCCCAGAAAGTTACAAGCTGGCTATGCATCCACAAAAAGAGATCATCATTATAAATGCACTGCACTGAATGGATAAACCTGCACAGCTGAATCAGTGGCTTCAAATATATGAGGCCAGTTTTTCTCCTTCAACTACAGGCTACTCATAAATGCTCAACAAACTTAGTGGCAAATGCCAAAGGGATTTCTCTACGATATCTAGGGCAAAGAGAGAACTCTATAAAGGTCCAAATTGGCCTCCATGTTCCACTGCTCTTTTTTGCCCTCTCCA